CATGGTGCCAGCAGAGAGGTGAGCTCAGAAGAGGGTTGCTGCTAGCTTTTGGATTACTGCAGGCAGGAGCTGCTGACCCTTGGCGAGGTGCACAGATTGCATCTGCCCATGCTACATGCAGTAGGATTTCCTTTTCCCAGAGGGAATCGCAGCAAAACAAACAATTGAGGGAAACGGTAGCTGTGTGTACCAGGGGCATCAGCCTTGCCCACAGGTATTGAAAAAACAGAAGACAGATGGTAACAAAGGGAGCAAAAGGACACCTAGTCTTCCTGTTGTATAAAGGAGTGGGCAAGTGAGACTAAATAATGTTGGCACAATGTCTCATTTTCTTCAGAGATCAGAGGTTAGCAGAGTTCTTCCCCTCGGAAAAGAACAGGGCAAAGAAATGGATCTTTGTCTCTTTAAGATGAGACGAACTGCCACTCTTAGTCATATATCTTTACTGCACCCTAGGGTTATAAAAACATACATCTTCGTTTTGAAAGTCTTTTATTACATCCATAAACATCAGATTGCAGCTGACTGTTCCCTGGATGAGAATGTCCTAGTACTCCAAGTGAGTTTTGACAAGGGGAGGGAGTGAAAGTAAGATTGTTGGGTTTTTTTACTGGAACGGTGTTTATAGGGAACTTGTCAGTCTCTGGCACGCTACAGCCACTGTCAGAGAGCTGAGCGGCACCGAAGTGAGAGGACACGGGTTTCTCTGCTTATTCTCGCTGTTGGACTCGGGTACCATCCCAGGTGCTGCATACGGTAAGCTTTTCTCCTGTCTTAAATAGGACGCAGCGTGTGCTTTGTTTCAGTGCTTGGGTTTTCAAATGGGTTTTGTGAGAAAATTGAAAAACGAGACTTTCTGAAAAGAACTAATCTCCTCATTTGCTCTGCTAGCCACTCCACTGGGAGTTAGATCACATAAAAAAAAAAAAAAAGACAGAATTAGATCTGAGACTTTCAGAGCACAGAGTGCTTGCTCCAGTTTAGAGACACGGGGGGCAACAGCCAAATTGTTTTGACCAGAAAAGTGAATGCTCTTGATGAGTATTTCTGACATCTCTAATACCTGAGGAACTGCAAATCCTTTCAACAGGTAAAAGAGCTATTATTTAGAAATACGTTGGAAATGCTGGGCTATATTTCTGTCTGATGTGATTTGCCTGGGTGGTTGCACTCACGAGGCACCGTGCTCCCTCAGGCAAGTGCGAGAAGTAGCTTCAGAAATGCCATTGGAGTATTTCTACGTAGGGTATAAATAGGTGTTTTGTAATCTGCAGCGTGTATCTGAGAGCACGCAATATTTCCACTCCTCGAGCATGAGAAACCAAGAGTACATCCACATTGCAGGCATGAGAACGACTGCAGCACAGTGCAATTTAAATTAACTAGTGGGGGAAAGTGGGAGCAATCTCGAAACAGCAGCTCACAGCTCAGCCAAGGTGATTTATGCTTCCCCTGTCTGTGTGAATACAGTGTGGACAGACTGAAAGATGGGAAAACATTGCTGTTGTACTTCTTCCTTCCTTGCTAAAGTGTACTGTCCCTTGAAATCCAGGGTTTTGTTTTAAGGACTTGTTTGCTTTTCTCTGCATTAGTGATTGCAATCCTGTGATGGTCTCGGGAAGGGGCTGGGGCTTCACCAGGCTGACTTTCCCGAGCTGTCTGAAGCACCCGCGCACCGGAGTTGGCAGCAGGAGGCGGGGAGATACCGGCACGCGTGCTCCCAGTGCGGCCACTGCCGCACCAGCTCAGGCAGCAGTGGGACCCCCACGGGATCCCCACGACGGCTCTGTCCAAGTTCTGTTCTCAAGGGAAAAGGGGTTGGGAAATTTGTGCCCTGCATGAAAGGGCAGACCTCAGTCTGCAAGGACAGTCACTTTGGCATCTCATGTTTGTCTGAAGTTTATGCACAGCAGTATGATCCTTATGAATTTGCACTAAAAAATAGATCTCCAGAATAATTTCCCAGTGTAAATCTGAAAGGCAAGCTGGGTTTTCATGTGTTTGAAAGCCGTTGCATTGTTCATGGGCATTCTGGCACAGTGCGCTGGTGGTGTTGAGGCAGTATTTGTGAGCCAGATCTTTCAAAAGCAGACGGTGATTCTGGGTGTCCCACCCAAGAAATGCGGAAAGGGTCTCCTTTCCAGAGAGTGCTGCCTTAAACAAGCCACCTCTCAGAGACACAGCATGCCCCAAAAAAACGTCTGAGATAACTTGACTGTAATCTGCAGGCAGAGGAAGGCAGGTGAGACAAGGAGTCATTCCCAAATGCTGATGCTGTTCAAAGGACCAGAACGACTTTTTGGCTAAACACCTCAGTCAGAGCTGGAAGTCTAAGTACGCCGCTTTGCAGGAGGGTTGAGGGTATCTTCTTTCCTCTGATATTTTCTGTTATGTCTCCCTCCTATTTTTTTCAGAGAAAGAAGAATTGTTCCAGAATTTATTGGGACAGATTGTCGAGCAGTTCTCGAGGTAAGAAGCTGAACGTCATTATTAATTTAAAATGCTAGTATTTCTTTTGTCAGCCTGAAGTGAAATTTTCACAAGAGGCAGAGAGGCATTTGAGATCTCTTTCAAATTCCACCCTTCCTGCCAAATTTAGGCCTGGTACACAAGTTATTT